TTATAATTTAAATGTTCGTTAAAATGATTTTTATATTGTACAAAATTAAAGAAAATTAACGGAAACTGGCATGCCAGTATCATTGACTCCAATGATATTTTTTACCCTAGATAAAATATCATAAGGGTCAATAATGACTATTGAAATTTTCCCCCTTGTTCATATTTTTTAGGAAAATTTTACAAACCCTGGTTTTATTTCTTTAGTGAAAATTTACCAAACAAAATGATAAATTTAACCGGAGAGTCAATATTGCGGTTAATCTGACACCGGTTCCTTATTAAAAGGAATCCTACATTCATTTACTTATATACATTTAAGTATATTATGCATGTGCGCTTTTCCATTCCGATTTTTAAAACAAATATTTATACATTTTTCCTCGAAACAAAATTACGAGACTCCGTCTATATATGTACCCATAATACGCTCGCACCAAAGCGTATTTTGTATTGGTTCGGTAAACACACACTAACTGTAGGTAAGTACGTATAATTTAATGGAAACGCGGTTGCCAATAAATGTTCATTTGACCCGAAACTTTCCGGTTCAATAGAGGTGACATGTCTATTGGATTTCAGTTATGTCCCCGATAAAATAATACTCAAACCGTACGTTTAGTGTTAGGAAAGTATTATTATTACGATTTTCAATTCGTATAAATACTCGTATAGACATTTTGAAAAAGAAACGCACGTAGTAGGTACCAAGTACCTACCTAGTATTTATTAACGTTTTGGGTTAAAATCGTGGTTTATAATTTCAAAGAATTAATAAACATCAATCGTTTTAATAGCTGTTGTATGTTGTATTACTGAAAATTTGTTTTATACAAAAAACCAATTTATTGCGGGTACTTACATTTCTCGTTTTGATATTTTTTGGAAATAAATTACTGAAATGTAAATCTATATCGAAACTACGTACTATTATACCCATGCATTAGGTGAACGACTAAAATTGTTATTGTAATTTGACGTATTTTTGGGGACTTAATTCTAGGGTGTAAAACGAAATCGGTAAAGCTGTATTTTGGGCATTCGTCTCGCGTCACGTACTTTGTCGGCGTATAAGAAGCAACGACGACGTGATGTATAGGTATTATTATTATTTTAAAGTTTAAAGCAATGAAAAATAATTGCATTTGAAAAACGATGCCATGTGAACCCCGCAAGTTTACTGTAGTTTCTTTATAGGACTTAAAAAAAAAAAAAAAAATTAAGTGCTCGTAAAAACAGTATAATATATATATATATATATATATATCTTTAAGTATTTATGAAATACACGTTACACAATGTATAACATAATATAATCAATACCCACGTATTAAAACTTTTAAGTTTCTTTTTAGTTTCTTAAATTGCAGTTGCAAATTCGATGTTATATTTTATTTAATATCGTGTTACACAATTTGTGAAAAAAACTAGAAATTTACATGATTTTACGTACACGGATACTGTAATAATATAAAAACCCGAGACATTACAATTTTAAACCGAGTTCATTCTATGATATAAATTAGAAAAATACACAATATTTGCCAACGCAACATTATATTCAGAAAAAAAAAATAGATAGTTACCCATTTAAAATACCATCGGTGATCCGTTTCGTATTTTAACTTTACTACACAATAATATTCATTTTAATATACTTATCCAAGAATAACCGTGTAAACGATACAAAATATTATATAAATTGGAAAGAAAAACGATTTTCCTGTTTTATTTTAAATTATTTGAAGGTACCTAACATACATGTTAGTAGTTTTATTTTATCCAACGCTAACGAACCAAAAAAAAATAAAAAAGAGATGATACTACTGATGGGTGGGATGAGTGAGAAGTTTCAAAAGTATGATGTAAGTATAGTGTAAAATAATTTTAATTTTATCATTACGCAACAATAAATAATTGCTTACGAAAAAGCGATTCTGAATGATATATTGTTAATCAAGTTTTTAAATGCCGTCATTTTTATGATTTCCATCTTTGATCGACCAAAAAATAACATCATCATTACACTAACGAGATAAAAAGCAAAAATATACTACACGTGAAAATTAGAGAAAGATTTTTAGTAGAAAAGTTGTTTATAGACAGAAAATAATAAAAGCACATATCATAGTTAAAAATTATCATACCAAACTCGATGATATTTGTTCTTACTTAGTCGTTTGTATACAATCGACATTATCTAATTATTAACACATGTACCTAATATAATTATCAAAAGTGTATACTCTTCGGATTATTTACGATTGGAATATTATACATTTTTCAAACGTACCTATTATTCGAATATAATATTTTCAAAAATGTGTGAAAAGTGGTAAAAAATAAAACAAAAAAAAAGTTCAAATGATGAAAAACAACAGAGTCTAGTTTATTATATCGATCGACCACAAACAACGGACAGAAAAGTTTATTCGCCAAACAAAGGTGTACGGTACGTTTCCGTTTCTGCACACAAAGATATTTTTTTTAGTAGATAGTTAGCTATAATAAGATCTTTAATATTTTTTTTTCATCTGATTTTATCCAAAAGTGGACGATTATCAACTCTAAACTATTAAAAAAATAAACCTGATTAACTTGTTTCGAATTGAATACTAAACCAGACGATTCTTTTATCGCCTACCTGATTACTATTTGTTTACGTATCACCACTTATAACAACAATAATAATTTTAAAGTCGTTTCAAATTATAATTATACATATTTTGAGCATTTTCAAAAACCTTTACGGTCTACACATGCGCAATAAAACCTCAATTTTCTTAAATGGAATTACGCCTATTTTTAACATTTTAATCGATTTTTCAAGTAAAATTTTTCTGTCACGAAAATAAAAAGATACAGCCATGTAAATTAGGAATAATATTTTTGAAAAAATTTAAAACGCATGATTTTTTAGTGATGTAAATTGACTACTGTTTTATGAGAGAACAATTTTGTATGTTTTGTAAATATAAAATTACGCAACCGTAACAATGATAAAGAAAATTTAGAGTAATATTAAAGTTTTAAAGTTTGTTTTTATGAAAATGTACACTATTTTATCAGAATTTAAAAGTCTATGTAAAATCTCATTGTGTTTATGATATTGTGATAAGGACATGCGATCATATACGACGAACAATTTCTATTTTAAATTCGGTATTTAATAAATATTAATTAATAAAAATTGAATAAATAATAATTTTATAAGAATATTGTAAATTTCTTATGGGAAACATTTTCTTATCATTATCATATAATTAAATACACAAAATACGATCAATGATTTGATTCAAAATCGTATGTTTTTAATATTTGCCAGGCGTATGTAATTATACTTATAATATATTTTATGCTTACATTGTTAAGTTTTATTTGAATAATAATATTTCTATTAGTAATAGAATATTATTATACTTAGGTACTGTGCAATATTGTTATTAGCTTTGCCTGTGTCAATATAATTGATGTGGTCTGGATACAAAAACCCAAAAATTATATTGTATTACTCTAAATCCCTGTTGTCTGTTTTATACCATAATTGCTGTGCAATACGATGTACCCGTATTTTTTTTTTGTTTTTTTTGAACTAAGGATGTTTTTTTTTTTGTTCCGAACCCAGTAAAAAATGAATTTGTTTTACAAGTATATATGACTTTTAATTTTTTTTTGTGTCTGTACACAAATTTTAAACCTCATTCCGAATAAAAAAGACAAGATAGCTTTTTGGTAGCATTTTATATGTAAATAGTACATTGAGGTAATATTTTGATTTTGATTTTCAAATTTAAAAATAATTGTGAAACACCGGGGGAAAACAGAGAAATTTACGAAAAAAATGTTCATTATTTTTATTTTCGGTTTATGGTTTTACAAGGATTTTTATTTTTTTTTCTGTGGACAACTTTAACAGAAATCATGCTCCAATTTTTAAATGTAACACCTTGTCTAAAAGAAAATCGGTGTGTAAAGGTGTGAAATGTAGTTATGAGTTGAAAAATATTTCAGCATTTTTTTTTTCTTTTAACAACTTTCCTACTAGTAATTTTCCTCTGATTTACAATGTTAGCACCAAACCTAACCTTCTGAAAGAAAATCTGACTAAGAAAGTACTTTAAAGAGGTCATTTTTCGATTTTCTCAAGATTTTTCCAGCAAATTTGAAAAATTGGGAAAAAACATGGGAAAACTGTGAAAAACGGTACAATATCAAACAAATATATTAATGAAAATATAAAACACCTATTTAATTATTTTACTAGAATATGACATAATACCATGTATGCATAGTATTGTTGACAAAATATCACTATGAAATGAACTCAGCTGACAATCGTTTTTTCGTCAACATTGGTTTATCCTTACTTACAGATTTACATTTAATTCTCGTATGTATCCTACCTTCCCAACTTCCCACCTAAAACAATGGCTTTACTGGTTCTCATTATCTTACCCTAAATTTTTAATCTTATTCTGAATTTCGAGAGTACCATATTTTTTAAAAGAAAATTCTATCCATTTGGTACAAAACAAGCTTGGTTTGAAATACCAGATTTAATCAAGAGGAAACCCTGACTTTAAAAAAAAAAAATTCAAAATAGTCCAAAAATTTGAGTGTAAACTCACGTATGGAAATTTAAATTTATACAAATATAAATATCATTTATGAAAATATTTCAGATCATAGTTTTGGTTTTAACCTATGTCTTACTTGGAATATCTAAATAAAATCCATTTGAATGCACTTCCTAACTAGGTAAAAATGTGTGCTTCTGGAAAATGAAGTCTGAGCAGTTATTTTAGCCGAGAAATTCATCGTAGTCATATATCTGATATAATCACCACAAAATTAAAAAAATAATAACAATAATAATAATTGATCGCAGAAATTAGGTTTTATCGAGTATTCGCGTTTGTAAGAGATCTATATCGATTTAAAACTTTCAGTTCGTTGATGGTCAATACACTTATACAAATGTTAGTTATACGATCATCGTGTCCGGTGTTTATGGCGAGCAGAACGGTCGATTTCGACGGTAATGTATCTCAGCCCTGCCACAGTACACACACTTTGTAACGAAATACTAAACCAACTGAAATGCAACGTAATATTATGTAATATTACCACGAAACTGTTAATATATTAGCACTACTCGACGCGTGTTGCATTTTCTGTTGTGGTTACGATGGCCGAATAAGATTATAGCCAATAATATTATTACATTAGCTTAGTTTATACGGAGATGATTTAGGATAGTTTTGAAATATTGCCGCTCAAACGCACAGAATATTTGAACATCAGGTATTTAAAAAATCAACCGAATGACTATCGTGCATGCTGGAATTGTACAGACATAACATAACTATTTGATCATGAATTATAGTAAAATCATAAAGCCGCAATATAACCGAACGTTGCTTAAAGTTTTACCAAATACCACCACCTATGCATAGTAAAAAAATATCTAAATATTTGTTCCGTCATGAAAAAAACCACATATCTATCGTAGTATTGCACAGTATGTTGACTTCAGTGTATTATGGCGACATGTAAAATGTCAAAATTATATTTGGTCTGGTTATAGGACCGTGCAGGTATTTATCAAGCGATAGATTATTTATGGCGATGTTTTTTTAAAATTTTAATTACAAATGAAACGATGGAACGAGTATTTATTATTGATAACGTTTGATGTTAATACTGTCCGTGTGAACGGAATGTAGGAATTAACAAATAATTTTGTAAATAATGACGATTCGTCTGATCGCCAATGAAAATTAAACCACTTCCCATTTTTTACATATTGAACAGATAAATGAACGTTTCTCTTATTTCAATTTATGTATTATATTTAAAAATATTAAAATGACACTAAAGTATTTTCCTACAATTATTTACACCCATTTCTTTTAAATTAAATTAACGATTTTAGAATATTTTGATAGGGATTATTTGGTAAATAATGGACTTGGAAAGGTTAAAAATTCGGTATCCAAGGTCAGTTTGGATAATGATAGAAATCTGACAAAATTTTAAAAATTTACTATTATTCGAAAAACTAAGAAACAATAACACGAATTACTACACAATTTGAAAATGTGTTTAAAAACGCTCACTGGGAGTGAAAATTGCCCAGATTTGCAAATATGTTTTCTTCAAAAATAACAGAAGCAAATAATAAATACATTTAGACCATTCAATCACTTGCAATTGGCATATTTTGTTAAAAGTGATCGATTTTCAATATCGTTTTCCTTATGGTTTACATTTGTTTTACATGTATCCTTTTAACTATAAGTACAGAAGATGGAACATTCTGTTTCTCAAATTTTGTAAATCATCGCCGTCTGAATGGTGCTATTAAATATATATAAAATATAGTCGAGTATTGAATGAATAACTGCTTATGATGTGATGAATTACAGACATCGGCGTACCTAAGTGTAATAATGATAAAAACAAAAAACTGACAAAGTATTATTACTAGGTTTTTTTTCTAAGCCCTCTTGGACTTCCTTATATACCCTACGCAGTTTTTCCTCGTCCACTTTAGCGAGAATATTTTTATTTGTAATCGTCATTTTAACTACCATCTCACTGTTTGGTGCCAGTAAATAATAATCCTTCTTACGGTCGTTTACGTAACATGCGAGTATTTTTATAATTTCGAATTAGTCAACCTAAAATGGAGATTAAAAGAAAAAAAATAACACAAAATCTTTGTTTTCAAAAGTCTAAGTACAAATTTCTATTTCTTATATTTATTTTATTTAAAGAAAATTCATATAAATTTAATTAGTCCTAGTATATCAATTTTTACTTTAATATTTTCTAATATATATATTTCTTTGTACTTTAGTATGTTTTGCTTGTTTCTTGTTGGAGATTAATTTTTTCCTATCAACTGTAAATTTATTAACTTATATACTTTCTTAAACTATTCTTTTAAATAATATTTTTTATCTTTTTTATGGTTTTTTTTTTTTTTTTTACACGATTGGTCATCATACCACTTTTTATATTGTAATAGGGCTACCTTCGTTGAATTTTAAATAAATAAATAAATAATAACAACACGTTTTGTCGCCAAGAAACCGTATGCAGTGACACGACCTTAAGTACTTATAATTGCACGGGATAACTGCTAAGGTATAACTATGCCATCTTTTTTTTTTAATACGGCTGAGGAAAAAATTTTTATAATTACAGATAATTATATTATTTTAGGATTTTGGTTCTCTCGGAGTTTTCATGCATATAAACATTTTTATTATTATTTATTTTTTTTTTTTTTTATAAAACTTCACGTTGTAGTTTTATTATTTTCGTTTTCAGTTGTATACTGTTAATTTATTAAAACTTAAAACAGTTGATGAGAAATATTTTTAAAGAAACCAACGGAAGATACGTATATATATACTACACAATTTTATTTTATTATTTATACGCGTACCTATAACTTGGCTACACTGTTTATAATGTCTTTGGAACTCGTTTCTATTAATTTAACAACAACAATAATAATAATTTTAAAAACCATTTCATTAAAATAATGCAAATGTTTTATTGTAATACCTAAATGAATAGTGTCACTGTATACATAATAATAATAACAATTTGTACGTATACAGTGTGTTTCACTCAAACGATAACACAGAAATATTTCAGCCATATGGACTTGGATCGATATGTGTTTCTTTTTTTTTGGGGGGGGGATGATCGAGGACTAAATGGGGGTCTAAAGTACACATTTTTATCTAGTTTTCAAGAATTTAATCCCTGTAATATGCGTATACACAATCATAAAGGTAACGTAATCAATTTTTAAAAAAATGGAAACATCATGGTAATTTTCTAACACTCGAATTTCAAGCGACTTTTATTTAAACTTTTTTTTTTTTTTTTACTCATAACTTGTCATGAGAATATACTAAATTACAGCAAAATAAAGTTTATTAATAGATAGGAATGGTTTTTCTCGATTTTTCAATGATTTCTTAAAAACGCATTAATCGTTAAGTGAAACAATTTTCAATAAATTCTGTTTTATGGGAAAACAATAAAATATTATCATACCTTACCTAACCTGTCTTTTTGAGATGATAAAAATTTTATTTGTTAAGGTCGTCTGAAAAAAATAGCACTATTCGAATCTAATAGAAAAAAAAAAAAAGTGCATTTCCAATAAATATAATGCATATTTTATTTCGAATGCGCCTGTCGCCAGGGGTAAATTTATTATTAATATAGACGCTAAATAATGTTGTATTTCGATATTTAGCAGACATCTTGAAAATTATAAATTCACCTCCAATTATTGGAGGTGAAAATTGAAACTATTTCAATCGGAGTCTATCCGGCTGAATTTATATTTCGTGTTACCCATTTGGGCAAAACGCTACACGCTGTATACTAAACAAACGGAAACTGCAAATAATATCTTTATCGTTGGTTTCATGAAACGCAATATCATATTACTAAAACAATAATAATAACTTGAGTGTTAGCATTTAGTGGACTGTGTATCGGTCGCTGCGCTATTACACCGACTAAAACTAATAGTATAATAATAATATCGCGACCGCGTTCGTTTATTTTAATAGTATTAGGTGGGTGTATACATTTCTACTTTCTACCGACACGGAAAATGTTCAAACAAAATCACCGACAATGTATATAATAACATTACACGTTGACAAAAATGCGCGTGGTAGAGTCGTGCTCCAGTCGGCCGATTCTGTAACATTTAGCCGTTAAGACTTTTTCGCTGATGCCCGGATGTTACGATATTTGTAAACGACATAAAGCCGATACCCTGTCCGATACTTGAAATCGAAAACTACGAACTGTTATTGAAATTAACCGACATGTCGGTTTTAAACCCAATTTGTAATTATTATTTTTTTTTTCCAAATTCCGGAGAAATTTTTCCTTGAAAATACCGATCAAATATAGATTTAAAAATAAAAATAATAACCCCCATATTATCCGATATTCCGAGATCGTCAATATCGGTGGATATATAATGTCGGTGTTCACTATTAAAATTAACGTCAAGGGAGAAAAAATATACTAAAACAATTATTAATGCTAGCGCAGTGTTTATACAAATCAGTAAATACAGTACTCTAAATAAATTTAACGGTTGGTTCTCGGTTAGTTGAATATTCACCGTTTTCTTATTGTTTCCGCGGTGCAGGCACCCATATTACACCAACTTGTATCTGTATAATTTTTGGTTTTAATTAAAATTTGATTTTGTGTTTTTATTATTGTAATCCTACGATATTACGCAGCGACGCTGTTATGAATTATTGTTACGCTGTACGTATACATAAAAACAGCAAATAACATTTATGCATTTATATTAATATTAATAATATTTTTGCTTTTATATTTTGTAATGACGGCCGAAACTTCAATAAATTAAGATCGGAGTCTCTCCGAATGTAGTCTATACCGACTCTCTTGAATTGACACCGACCTGCAAGGGGTCTGTGTCAGTGAAAAAAAATTCTTGATCCGTACATTTGTACATTTACGCCTATTTAGGCGTAAATATGGGCTCATGAGAGCTTGATGAATAAACTATATTTTATACATTGTACAGAGTTTCCTACCATATTCTAACGGACTAAGCTAAAAAAGCTTAGATATTTTTTAAAAGCACGATTTTTAAAGTTCTAGCCCCTCAAAAAAAAAAAAAAAACAGTTTTAAAAAAAATAATACTAGATATTGGGAATTTAAATACCATAATACAATCGTAGTGATTAGAATATTTTTATGCCACACTGCCCGAGTATATAAAAAATTGAGGTCTATTCAATTTTTATAGGACTATTCTGTTAATCAGTAGTAATAGTAACGTGCCTGGAATTATTCCAGGCAATTTCAAGCCTGTTGGGAATTTAAAAGCTGGTTCCAAAAAAAAAAAAAAAACATTTTTATTCAATAATTAGAACTTTTTGTTGTAACATATCTGAAATATTATATACGTTTTAAGATTAAATTATTAACTAAATAGACACCCAAAGTTAATGTTTTTTTTTTTTTTTTTTTTAAACATAGGGAGGAATACAACCCACAATCTTCCCGCCCACATGGCATTATATACTCTCTCTAATTGGATTTACATAGTGGGAAACAAATTCAAATTATTTTAGTTTCAAAAAAAAAAAATTAGATTTTTTTTAAATAAACGGCGGAAATGTGGTATTTGATAGAATTAATTTAAAATTTTAAAAGTTAGTTCTATTGTTTTAACGAAATTAATTTTTTTTTAACTAGATAAAAAGTTGCAGTTTTTTCTACATACATTTTACTAGCCCCTTTCCCATTCAAAAATGTATAATTTTTCTTTGCACCGTATTTGTCATACCAATGTCATGAATTTGCATGCCTATCGCCACTATTTATATACTTTTAATTTAGGCGTTATATCAAAAAAAAAAAATACCATGTGAGGGGATTTAAAATTTTTTTTTGGGGATTTAGCATGTAATTAGTATGAATTTGGCCACCCTTGTTATAAAGTTTCATCGCCAATGCTCCTCAACAACTCATGTAAAAATGTTTCTACAGCCCCCCGGGGCATTAAATTCAACTTTTTTGATTTTTCCTGACGCCAATATTTAGCATGCATTTGCATTATATTTTCACCGCACTTCCCTACCAATAAAAGTATTTTTTCAAATTTGTATATTTCATCAGTCCTCTTCTACATTCAAAACCTTCAATTTTTTTTTTTTGCTCCAATATTTAGCATGAATTTGCAAGAAGGTCAACATTTTATTGCTAAAACAATTTTAAAAATTAAGTTAATTTTATTTTACAATTATATATATTAAATGGTATAAAATAACACTTCACATTCCATGGAAGTTGTACTTTTTATATAAATCGGTTTTTTTCGGAGGTCATTATACAATTCCCAATTTGCTGTCTCTCTTTTGATAAGTGCTTGATAATGTACAATTGAATTTCAAAGTGAACTTCTTCCTCGGTGATAACTTATGAATCCTCGTATCTCGTAAAGGATCTGATTGTTTCTTAATAAGGGAGGGACAAATATTAATTGGGTAGTAGCTGAGTTTTGTAAGAGCATTGATGATGAAGAGGAAAATTTATAGCAGGAATGGCCAAATGTATGCCAATTATATGCTAAATATTGTCGCAAAAAGAAAAATTTGAAATTCAGCCCCCCACGTGGTTTTTCTGATTTAACGCCTAAACTAAAAGCATACAAATAGTGGCGATAAACATGCAAATTCATTCTAATTAGATTCTAAATATTGGCAAAAAAAAATTTTGTAAGGAAGGAGGGGGGGGGGTGAAATGTATGTGATTTTTCTTCTTAGGTTATTAAAAACGATTGAAGCCCATTATACCGCAACACACATTTGCTTCCATTCATCCCTATCCTAAACTAATATTATTTTTCATCGTATTATATTGCAATTTCTATCGGGTCCCCTCTTCCCCCGTCACCAGTCCACCATTTATATTTCCAGCTAATCAGTCTTGATATTACTAAACTGGAATCGCTAAAGAAAATGTCCCTTCCATTACTTCACCTCACGAGCCATAAGACTTCCGTCCCCCTATCGTTTCCGGTCCATTCTATCTTAGTCTGTGCAAGCAACATTATCTCTTATCATTTTTTAGAACCCTAGATATTTTCAAATTGGCTTTTATACACATCTGCAGTCACGAGTGCATATATTTTAATAATAAGCGAATTGCGTAGTATTTATTGAATTTGAAATTAACACGATTTTTTTTTTTTAGGAGAAGTTATATCAGTTGTCTACTAAAAAAAGAAAAAATGTATTGCGAATAATTTGCTTTACGCACTACTACGATAACCATCTGATTTATATTCGTATAAAAATTGTGTTAGGTAGGTGAGTTAGGTATATACATATACTCGCGCATTAAATATAATTAATTATATTTATTTTTTCGAGAAGTTTGCACGTTCATTTTAAAAAATATAATATTAATATATATATATATAATAGTATATTGTGTGCGCGAGTCATAAACATCCACTATAGCCGTTAAGATCATAATAAATTATTTTTTTTTATTATTTAATTTAGGCCACTTAAGTCTAATACGCATAATATTATAATAATATGGTATAAATACGGAATTAGATTTACGATCTTAGATTGTAATTTTATCAACGGGTGAGGGGAAGGGTGGTAAGAGGAAGTTAAATAAAAACAAAGTTTTTTTTTTGTAAAATGCACTGTAACGAATAATCATAATAATTATCTCGGTTTTTTACGTTTTTTTTTTTTTTCACATACCGCGAGAACTTAATATTATTCAGCCATTCGCTCAAGAATAACGGACGCGGGTGACGAGCTAATAATTATTATTATTGCAGAGTACATTTATTTGTTGTGGGTAGGTAGGCAGGTAGGTATCGTGCGGGTCAATTAGTGGCGACAAACATATTTTTTTTTATTTATTTATTCGTTTTTTTTTTTTTTTTTTTTTTTTTTTTTTAATTACAAAAACATGGTATTTTCATAATTCACTTTAGGTCGAGTTCACGTTAATTCTGGTCAGTAAAAAAAAAAAAATGGTTTCATTCCTGTTCTCCCACATCTGCTCGTTCTATCTATACCATATAATATTATACGGTTTATATTTTTACAGGTTAGTCCGGCCGCGTTTTCATATAGGTATACTACTTATAAATTATAGCGTATTATAACTTAAAATACACCTTATTATTTGTTTTATCGTTATCGATATCGAAAATTATTAGTGTAGGTAGATAAGCGGGTATTAGCTAAAACTCTGATAACTCCATTGTGATGAAACATCAAAGGAAACTCAAAAATGCAAAAAGTATTCGTGTCCACCGAATGTATTATAAATTAGTGTATTACTCGTATTATTATGTAGTAATTATTTACCATGAAAAGTTTGAATTAAAAATAGAATCTAATTTACTCATAGTGTTTATATTATGAATACAGCCTGGACTGGAAGAGCTGATACTTTTACCATAGTAAACTCACATGTTTACAAATTTAACAATTTCCATAATGTTTTCCAATTATTTACAGTGAATCATCTTTACGTTTACATTTTATATAATTTAATTACCACGAGTATAAATTATTACGTATATACGGAATAAAAACAAAATCATACACCCTGCATAGTGATGAACAATAATAAATATAATTAACCGTGATCAAATGAGTATGGGTTTATTAGACCTACACCTAACATGTTTGTTAGTATTTTTAATAGGCACATATGTATTTATGTTATTATTTTTAATGTAATAAAAAAAGCTCTTACATATTTATATTTTATAACTACAACATTTATTCGGTTACCTGAGTGACATTCAAATTACAGTCACTGTGTTCACAAGTAAAATATCAATATGCGTTAATGAAATGGGAAAAACGTGCGTTATCGTCTATTATCTACATACTAGCGTTGGACCAATCAAAAACGACCGGTTGTGAAAAAATGTGTGATATGGGAAAATTCAGCCCGAAAGGCCACGGCACTAATAATTCGTGTTTACACAAGACGCGCTAAAAACACCCTTTGCAAAATAAACACATGCGTACATACCAATACACCGCCGGTTCACATAATATAACGTCCCACCACGCGGTTATAAATTATTCAGTGCGGCACTTTTGGTAACGTCAGGTTTATGCAAATAATAATAGGTACCTACCTATCCGAAAAGTTTTAATTTTCGCGGTTAAAATATTGGTTGATAGGTTAGTAGGTAAGTAGGTGGTTAGATATATCTATAACATTATTGGATGTGTTCTCGTCGTTTTTTTCGCTACGGCGAAATACCTATTATTATTATGACGTTAAAGTCAAGAATTCATTGTCGAGGCGCAGATAAATAAACTTATTGATTAAATAAAACCATAATATTCATAGTATTTACTTCCTTCCTTAGTAAATTTTCTAAAAAAAAAAAAATTAATAACTACTGGCACACCGGGAAATTGTTTGTGGTCGGCAATAAATCATTGAATTAATTTGGAAAAAAAAATACTCACGTTTTTACTGGGTATCTCACGTGTTGGAATAAAGTTGTCCACTAATTTAAACACGTATAAGCAACGGAGATACATGTAGTTCTCTGGGGTGATAATAAAACGACAAAAAAAAAATCCAGATCCAGGTGAACCATATTTAAATTATAAGAATCTCGTCCAAACTCCAAACCTGATACTGCTTCAAGGAAGTTAATGTCCTAAGAATAAGGTGGATAAGAGTAGGGTAAAAGATAAAAGGCACGTCGGGTAGATCACATTTTAGTGTAGAATAGTCGATAATCGTGTCAATTATAACAAAGGCTCGTCAAATCATTGATATTGAATTCATATCAATACTAAATTAAAATTTTGATATTTTTGATTTCCTTTTAGAGTATGTTTCTTATCATTCCGAGAGAACTCCTATAGCCCCTAAATAACATTTTCCCCGTACCTTTTTTATTCTCTGGTTTAGAGAATATCTCTGGTATTTAGAAATATTTTTTGGAATTAATATTTATACATATAGAATGAGTGTAATAATATGGACGTTGTCCGACTACGTCCCGTTTTGATCTTTTTAATCTTTCTCGAGTTTCGATTGCGTCCGGTTTTACCAGGTATGCATCCGATTGCGTCCCGATCATAAAATTAAGAATTGAAATTATTGTTATTTCGTTTATACATTTTACGTCCAAGATCGTTCCGTTTTCCAAGATCCTTATCGTTTAGAGTTAAATGCGCATATTTCATGTGCGTCTACCTACAACCGCGTTCTGACTAATATCGAAACTCTCGATTTTTCGTTTAGGACACAATCGAATGCACACCTGTTAAAACCGGACGCAATCGAAATTTTGCTGAACGCAATAGGTATACTCTATTTTTCGTTTAACTGACTTTGGGACGCAATCGACTGTAAACGAATAATATGACGACGAGGACTCGAACGGCAAAATTATTATCTCGTACTGCACTGATTCCGGTTCCTACCAATGCGCGCATACATGATATTATTGTATTATACACCTATACGAACATAATATTAATGTACAAATGCGCGTGCGTACCTACTACAATACGTGTACAAATGCATATTATATAAACAGAGTATCCCCAGAGGATTTACTCCGTCTATTTTACAACGGCGAAATATCGGTGTTTACATTCGCTAATATATAATATATTTATAGGAAGGTATACATACGCGATATGCAGACTGTTATATTTAATTTATACACACTGAAGGCTGGTGGCCGCGTCGAAACCGTAAGTATACACACCGTGTTCAAAAATAATATTATAATAATAAGGCCTATTGTGGTTTTACATAAAAAGACGATTAACAAATATATAATATTGTAATCCGTGAGTTACTGATGGATAGTGGATAAATACTGTGGAGAATAATACCACGTAGTTGATGTGTTATTATAAAAAAACAACTGACTGGGGTGGAGTCTCCTTTCTTATTTAAGAGGTAAAATTGTCCATCCGCAAAATTTCAAGTCTTCGGCGTCCATGAAGACGTTTTAGTAAAAATTGTTTTTAAATATC